AGGTGCCGGACTGGCCCGAGAGCATCAAACTTAAGCTTCCTTCATATGCGGACGAGCTCATGGCAGAACGCCTTCTTTGGAGACTCTATGATGAACCAGGAAATGTTTCGCGCAACTAGTTTGTCTATTTATAATCACAAACATTGCTTGGACTAGGGTTGGCAAGGCATTGATTGGCATAATCCAATATCCAGACTTTGAATTCTTCAATATCAAAGTTCGGTATCACTGATTCATTTTGTAGAGTGGATATGGCATTCCAAACCCAATGGCGACATCTTTCTCCTGATTCCTTATCTGGCAGAGCAACACCCCTGAGGATGGTTTCGAGATCATTTTCTGTCGTTTGCGGAGGAACTTTTCCGATCATGACCCGACCAACTAACTGCCCACTGTCCAACAGATTCACGTTGTTCTTAATCCTTAAGAACCAATCTCTTTCCGAGTTCAGGTCTTGCCCAGTTTCACCATCCAACCGAACACCGTCCGAAACGTCGTATGCCATGTTGTCGCGGCCGTTGGACTTCTTAGGTGCTAACAAAACTCCCCAGTGGTATGCACCGTACATCTTGCGTATTCCCTCTTGAAGAGACATTTCATCTCGGTGGTGAATAGAGATAAATAGGCGTTTTTTATTGCTCATATCTGTACCGCAGCGTTCAAATTCATTAGACTGATGCTTGCACTCTAGTTAAAGGGCCATTTCTTACTGTAGAGGTCTGGGGATGGAAGACTGCTATAAGCAAGCTCAGTTGGAAGTTTGCCTGTTCGAGAGCATATCACCTTGACACTGATCAAATGCCAGGGTGGTATGATAGAACTTATAACAGCGGCACAGTACCATTTACCAATACAGATGGGCCAAGTGGCACATGTCTTTCAGCATGGATGTATGCAGGCAGCAAACAATTCTTCCTTCAAATCATGTTGGTAAACTCAGAGGAGCAACTGGTCGTCTGACAGCTTGCAGCCCATGACAATAAGTAACCGCCATGCCAAGGCCGCCGGGAATAGCTCGTCCCGTGCGTTCCGGGCCGTTCCGCTCACTAATGCATGCTGCTCAGCAAGATTCAGAGCGCGCGGAATGATCATCGCCTCCTCCGCGGGTAATTGTGAGTCATGTTGCCCTTGTCCAATTGTGCGGTGCCACGTACATACAATTATTGGAGCCAGGAACCCGCACATAACCACCTCTATCGACTTGGAGGGAAACTCTTAATACCCAATGGGAGAAAAGTTTCTACTTTGGTCGTAGTAAGCCTCCACTAGCTAGATCGAGTTGAAAATAATAATCCCACTCTTCAATAATCATAGACGAGGTTTGTCTATTCCAGGTATCGGGGCCGCCCCCTTTTTCGGCCAACCCTTCTCTTCGGCCAGGACGGCCTGGAAACTGAAAAGCGAGGCTCAAGATCGACGGCCGATATGCTCAGCCACTTTTCATTTGCTATGTACAGCCCATTTTCATCTCCTCCGCAAAGGGTTATTGAAATAAACAGTTTATATTCGTCAAAACTGCTCAATATTGATGGTTACACACAGTTCGTCCCACTACAGCACCTATTGTAGCCCATCCTGAAAATTTTGCGGAATTGATCCTCCATACTCCCTTTCGAATTCATGGGTACCTGAACCCTGCGCTGGGAATCTGCTCGCAAGCGTGAACCGCTTCAAGACATCCGTAGCCTATCTAAGTTAGTGATAGTGGATGTGTTGTGGATGCACGGTAAACACGGTCTTCATTGGATATCACCTTTCGGCCGCTGGTAAGCTCGAAGACACTAGGTTATCGCGGCGCAGCGGGAGGGGCTCACTCCGAGCCCCTTCGCAGATCGCCCCTCACCCGTGGGGTATAGATAGGGCCTCTGGAAGGACACGCCTCCCATGCCACTCAACGACGAGGTTTTGTGCTCAGTCTCACATCCGCGGCGTAGCTGGGCGGCGCCAAAGGCAGACTGACGCCTGCACCATCACTTTTCCAATCCAGCACACAGGGTATATATATAGGTGTGCAGCAGTACAGCTCTTTCGTTCCGTCTTCAACACAATCTCTCCATCCAGTCCAGTCACCTATCAATCTTGTACCCCAAGAGACTCCTACGGCAGAAAATCAAACAAGGCATTTCCATCACGCTATAATGGATGACCTGATATCATTCTACCCAACAGTTTGATATCACAAGAAATTAGCAGCATTGATATCTCGAATACTTTATCTGCTAACACCCTCCACTTTTTTCTGTATGATACCCCTTTTTAAATTCCTTGTATTTCCCTGTTCTGACATGTTGCTTTCCTTTGTATATGTAGGCCACTGGAGCGATGGTAGTTTTATTTACTGAGTGAAGAGCAGCTTATCGTAGTATAAACTTCATTCATGATATTTCACCCCTCCATGGAGCTAAACTGAATTTAGCTTAGAACTTCATCGAATGAAATGATGGCTTTAGGCCCTAGAGTAATAATTCCAATAACAGCCACCCATTTAAGCCACCAGAGTCAAGTTTTCACTACAATACATCCCATATAAGAGAAAGCCCGTTAACGTTGTTCTTCGCAAGCTAAAGCGCTTTGTTCGATACGATCTTTATGATAATGCCGTCCGGCTTGAAGTGGCCATCGACATATTCTTTAGTCAAGTACGCTGGAGCAGCCAGATCTGCGATCTGTGTACCAAGGGAACCACCATCAGCGTTGCACTTGAGGATGCTGTCAGCCTCCAGCTTCTTGCCACCATCGATGGTGTCTGCAATATCGGCAAAGAGGATCGACGAGTCATATGTCATGTTGATCTTTTTGGCGTAGGCTGCTGCTGTGCCACGCGCATACAGAACCCATTCTCCACAGTCAGGCGCATCGGCCGCCTTCATGGTGAACACTATTAGTAAACGGGTTAGAAAATCTGCTTCAATTTTGGCATCTTTAACATGCCTGTTGGGCACGATGGCAACCCAAGCACATGTACATGAATAATAAGGAAGTTATTAGCCCATACATCGACCAATTCTAGTCTGCCGACCATAGGCACGCAGATAGCTTGCGATGAAGCTGACATCTTCTGCTGCGACATTCTGCGGGATGTCATTCCCTCCATTATAGCAATGCAGCTTGGGAGTTTCATCAAAACAGATATGGCGAGGCTCGGGCTCAAAGCCAGTCACAGTCGTCGGCAGGGGCGCAGCTCGCGTGGCCAGGAGAACAACAGCATACTTGAGGAAGACTGTGGAAAACAACATGTTACCGGAGCTTGTGGGCACAGATGTAAGGGAGGTGGGATCAAGGCGGTTTGTATTTCAACTCTCGTTTAACAAGAGGCATCCATTATCAATCCGCGGGGAGGGGTACTTATAGTACATCCATCCACCCAACACTCCCCATGCTGGCACGGCCCAAATTCTGTTCACGGAGATTTTGAATGCAACAGCGATGTGACATGAAGAAATTGTCAGGCCCTCGGTCAGCATAAGTAGGGACCCATGAAAGGATGTTATTTCAACCATGAAGAGTAATGGACAGCTGAGCGGCGCAGAATAGTTATCTGATGGAGATCCAAGATGAAGAAGAGTAACTATGTCAGAAGACCAGCCCAGCCCCATCCTCAGCAGAACTGGGGGTCGCCCTGAAGTTTTATAGGCAGGGATATTATGACGTACAGTACAGGTTGACGATATATGTCCACTCGGCAACCTAAGCTGCGCGACAGCAGGGAGTCGGCACCTGTTTAATCTCAAGCCAGAGACTTAGAAGGTTGGCAGGGGAATTGGCCAATCAGCAGGATTGGTCTGGCATAAGATCCGTTTTAACTTCGCCGATTTCACCACATCCATGCATACATACGCAGGACAACGTCGATGACTCGATATAGACTCTGTTAAGGTTGAGGTCTTTCGCGCGGGACTGATTTCCCGTATTCCCGCACCCGTTGTCAGACCGTAAGCCAGATGCCGTGCTGGTCCGATACTTACCCCCTAGGGACAGTAGTTTTTTATGTATGTAAGACGCCGACTTAATTACCGGCTGGGACCAGGCTTCATGGAAAGGAGAGGGGGCGGGCGGATAGCTTAATATCAGGATTTGATTCAAAGAACAGCCCAGTCACTACAGTAATGATGAAGGTGTTCAATAATGCTCCGTGTATGTAACTGCAATCTGTCAGCGGACTCTTTTTTTTCTTGCGATGGTACAGTACATATATATCTCCTTCCTTCCTTATCCCCCCCGACCCCCCAATTCATCGGACAAAGCCCCTGAGTCGTCCCGAATATCTGCTGCTTCTAAGATATCTTGTGATTAGTAGTTTCAATGATTTAGTGCATACAATCTGCGAGAGAGGAAAGGGCATTAGCACTGATAGATTTGCTTCATAGAGATGGATACTGCAAACAGCTTTTTTGAGGTCGGAGAAATGACGCAGTGGGGTTGTATTTAGTGCAAGCCACTATAAGCCACTATCACACTTGCGGATCTGTACCGTACATACTTGCGATGTTTTGCACAAAAAAGTCGGTGTTGCGTCGCCTTCCTTGAGGATTAGGGCCTGTTCGGTGCGTCCGTACTTTTTGAACACAATAGTGGATCTCATTAAAAATAGCATATTTATCAATTATTTAGTAGCAAGCCGGTGTTGCACCACCATGCTATTCCATAATTGAGATCACTTCACACTGGCTTTTTTTTAATTTCACATTCATCAACACAGATGTGTTGAAATCATATTCTCTCAAATCTATGGTTGATTTATCTATATTTAACTGTCATTATTAGCTAGAATTCATGAAAGAAGTGAACAAGAATGTTACAGTATAATATCTCAATACAATATCTGAAAATGAAGAACAATAATACTCAAATATCTATAATTTCAATCTCACTGAGTCAATGATCAGATTCTCAATTATTATTATTCTCTCAAACACTCTTTTAAACACTCTCTTAAACACACTCTGAAACACTCTCTTATTAAACATCTACTATCTCTCAAAAGTGAATACTTGCTTCTTAAATCAGATATCTCAGAATATTATGAAGTCTCACAATGAAAAAGACCCTGCTTACTAAGCACTTGAAGATGAAAAAGAAAGAATTAAATACTGATAATAATAACTTCAAATCTGTGAATTGAAATCTTATCACATAGACTGTCAAGCAGTCAATAGATTGAATAATAATCAAAGAAATATATAATAATTAGTAAAGAGAGATTAAATATATTTAAATACTTTGAATAAGATATAAAAATCAGATATCTGACTGAATATATAATCACAGATATGAAATCTATATCAATGATAAAGAGATTATAAATGAGTATTTCTTCAAACATTCTGATCTTGAAATCTTTTAAGAATATAATTCTGAATTTCAAGAACTTACTGAAGAATTGCTTATTGATAGACTTATTACTAATTAATTTATAATTCAATATTATACAATGATATCTGAAATGAGAGAATCTTCTATAACAGATTCAGAAACTGAAGAAAGTTTATTATCTTTTGTAATAAATTTATCAGTCTTCAGAAGTATCAATCATATAAAAAAACACTTAAAATCAGAGAATATTGATAAGAATATTTAAAATCTGACTGCAGCTGTAAACAGTCTCAGTCAGATTAATATACAGATTGAAGTTGAAAGAAAAACTGAGTAAGTTATCAAGCAATTTATGAGTGAGATGCAGAATCTACTGTTAGAAGATTAAAAGATTGACAGTGAGATTTCTTATCAATAATATACTATAATTTCATACTATTTTCTTAATATTCAAGAAGCTCAGCTGTATCTAGATTTGAAATATAACTGAATCAGTGTTTGATGAGATTATATTATACAGATATTGAATAGAATACCACAGCTGTAGTAAGAGTAGTAAAAGAAATAATGAGAAAAGTAGTAATAAAAGTAGTAATGAAAGTAGTGATGAGAGTAGTGATAGAAGTAGTAATAAGAGTAGTAATAAGAGTAGTGATAAAAGTAGTAATAAGAGTAGTAATGAGAGTAGTAATAAGAGTAGTAGTAATAATACTTTTAAATCATTCTTTTTGTATCTTATTTCTTTCAAAATAATCAAGAACATTACTGAATTTTACTCAATATTACAATAATAATGAATTACACTTATAAATATATATTTTAAAACATCACAACTTTTTATGTGAGATGATTAGATAATTTAAAGCATTTTATTAACTTATAAATTATAATATGATATTATATACAATGAATACATCAATATATTATCATTTTGTATTTTTAAAAGTGAAATTATGTGTAGAATTCAACTATTTTTGTTAAGATATATGTAAGTAATCTTGATTCATGTATCAATTATATGTGACTTGCTGATTAATCTTTCATATTTTTAATATATCTCTTATAGAACTCTCATATTTTCTCTGCAATCTGATATCTTCTTCTAATTATCTCATTACTATTCTCTCTTTCATTTATTATATTTAACTGTTCTGACTTCATTTCGTCATTCAAATTCTTCAGATTAATATCATCTAGGTCTTCATACTTATTTATGAAGTTATAAAGTACTATCAATATGAAAACAAAATTGATTTAAGTGATAATGAAGAATTCATCTCTTTCTTAATTATATATTTGAAATCACTGTTTGAATACTTTAAAAACTCACTTAATTACACTCTGTAAACTGACATGCTAAAGATTGAATAATTTCTTCTTATTAGTAGATTATTTATCTGTCTTTTCAAACTTCTTGAGATAATATCATATATCAGAATAAGAAATCAATATCATATAGACTCTTTTTAAATAATGAGTATTCACAAGAAAATAGCAGAGCTTCTTCACTGAATGATTATCATACTCTTGAGCTGGATTAAAAACATGTATATCATGAGCAGATTCTTTCATTTCTAAGTATATATATACAAAGTTCATCTCAAAATCACATGCTGTCAGAATATTCTGTGAGATTCATTCTTTTTAATTTTATTAGTCAGATTGCTGATTAGAAGAAATGAATATTAAAAGATAAGTATCATTTAATATTTCAATATAATCTTTAAAGAATGATCACTGCTTAAAATTATCACTGAGCAAGTCTTTGCTATATTTTATAGAAGATTTTAACAATTGTATAAGCTGACTGTAAAGCACACAGAGTGCTTTCAACATCTCATGAAATACTCTATATAAAATAAGTGAGTATTTTTAAAATAATAAAAGTTATATTATAATTATATAAGAAGTTAATTCTTATTTTAAAACTGTATCAAGTGAATGCTCAAACCTTTTCACAGTATCTTAATATAAAGATTCTTATACAATAATATAGAGAAATATCATTGCTTTCTCTTTTATCTTCATTGTATCTATAACACTGAATTCAGAGATAGTTGTATACTTTTTGAGAAGAATAATGAATTGAATGAATATTTCTTGATAAAGATGTGTGATATTCTTAATATAATTAGAGTGAGTATCTGAATTCAGCAGCTGAGCAGTTGTAATGTGACGGAATTGAAGCAGTGACTAGTCAGCAGTATCATGTAGAAGTAGTTGTTTGAGAAGCCGTATAAGTGAGCTTGACTATCTTGCTTAAATAGTGAGCTTGTGAGCTACAGGATTATTGTGAGAATATTACAGATATGATACTTAGTATACTAAGAAGATTATATAAGAAATATAGTAACTCTTGTATATATTCTTCTAGAAGAAAATGAATCACTGATTTTTTAATCAGAAGTCAGCATCTAGCTATTCTATATAGATAATGAGTGAATACTCTTCTTTCACTCTATAAGTAAGAATAGTTAAAGTGATATCTCAGCAGTATCTCACTATTATGAAAGAGTAATCTGCTGACCTTGTATAGAAGTAAGATTCTTATATTTATTAATTAAATCTTTCTATATTATATCTGAATGATATCATAGAGTGATTGAAAATCAGTTTGAATAATCTGTGAGATAAATGAAATTATTCACAGAGAAGTAATAAGCTATATAAAACTGTAATAAAATCTTAACATAGCTGAGAGTATAATAATACTCTTCTCTTTAAGAGTATAGTTCTGATGCTCTCAAGATTATCAGATTAGAAATTATCTTTGTTATATAACAATAGTTATTAACTGATTTTAACAGTGTATATACTGTGTGTGATACAAAGAAATAGATAAGTTTCTCTACTAACTGTGTAAATCTTCTTTTCTCATCTCTATTCAAATTAAACATATGATAAGTGAATTTCTTATATATTGATTTAAAATATGAAAAATGTAGTTAATAAGTGACTTATAGATCTCTCATTATATTCTGTCCTGTATATGAAATTCTCTGCAAAAGTAGTGTATTTTAGAGACAAAGCTAACAGTAGTAGTGAAATTTTTTTAAAAAGATTTTCTCTCTCTGTAATATATTTTTCTCCCTCTCTCTCAATCTGTAATAGTAAGTGTATAAGAGCATCATTCTTCAAAGATAATAAAAGGCTTATTCTAATACTTTTTAGTGATTAAATATCTTCATAGTGTGACTGCAGCCTCTGTGACTGTTAAGAAAGATAGATTGAAGATGAAGACAGCAGTATTGATAAACTGTGAGAGTATTACTCTCATTGTCACATCTTCTTCTTCTTCTTCTGCATCTCTTGCAGCTGCAGCAGTAGAAGCTGTGTCTTATAGTGAGATATTATCTCTTCTACTGATTAATTTAACAGTATCTGATTCTTTCTCTGTCTCTCTCACTGCTGTTGCAACACTATCTGTTTTGTCAATTAATATAGTGATGTATAATTCTATGTGATTATTCAGAGAGAATCTCAGAGAAAGCTTGATTCTGAGAACAGTGACTCTGAGAAGTTCAATCTGTAGTTTCTTCTCTATGACATGTCTGAGCTCTGCTCAGAATGCTGCTGAGTTAAGTCTGCAAAGTTCTGCAGTTTCTTTATCTTCTCTCTGTGAGAAGACTCTAGTGTGATCTCTGACTGATATTATCACTTATCTACACTATACTAAGCAGCTGAAGAAAGAGAAAATGTTATTTTTCTATCTCTTCTCTTACTTCTGTTATTTTCATTATATCTATAACAATAACTTCTATCTCTCTGTAAGTATTACTTTATAAGAAGATATTATATCAGTTCTGATATGAAGCTCAGATATCTAAGCAGTACAGAGTAAGAGTCTCAGAGCTTTAAGTGTTAACAGATTCTATTAAGACTGAGAAGATCTCTCTTACTTATCTATAAAAGAAGATTAAAGTGTGAATCTCTGAGATGAAAAAACATCTTAGAATGACTAATCTTAAGAAGAGATTAGCTGATACTGCTATTAAAAGTGCTATAAAGATTAATTACTGATTAAAGAGAATCTCACTTCAATTGAAGTAGATAACTGAGATACTTTGTAAATTAATAAGTTAATACTTTATATATTTCTCATACTCTTCTGTGATATTGCAGTACTAACTTCTCAGTAGATAAAGATACTGATACTGAAGACTTCAATGATGAAGAATGAGTTTAATGAGAGTATAATTATTAGTGAGTAGATCTTAAGATCTCTCTTTTTACTTTTTCTGCA